TTCTCCGAGGCTTTGGAGCAGTGTGGCATTGTTCGGCAGGATCAGTTGATTTGGGGATGTCCGGTGCCACGGCTAATCCTTTTGACCTGACCCGGCCTGCTGGGAAACGTCCTCTCCTCCTTCACTTCAGGCCACTGTGTGAATGATGAACCACTGCCCGCTCACACAATTAAAACACCCCCCCAGACTCAATGCGGCTCTACATGATGCTACACAAGCTGAGACCTCACTGAAAAAACAAACAGTGAGAACATGTCTGCATGCTTGTTATTGAAACTGCATGCTTTAAATATTTGGAATACTATTGGATGACTGAGCAACTGAAGTCATACCAACTATTTGATAAAGACATTAGACCTGTGGGTTTGAGGTGTAGATCTGAGCAGATGTGGATACATGTGGCATCTTTTAGTTGTGCTGTACAGGAATCATCAGTTAAGTCCCATCTTAAAAACTGGACGGACGTTTTTTTTTAAACAACCTTTTTCATGAACACTGGATCTTAGTTGTTTAGGCAGGGATAAACAATCTCTGTGAGACCGATTATGAAAGATCACTGATGTCAGGTTTAGTTTAGGTTAAGCTCACAAGAGTCCGGCTAAAAAGAAGTCCCTCATTGTGAGACAGCCCGCTGTGTGAGCAACTGAGGGCTCTGCAGCCACTATTCAAGCAGAAGAACTGCAGATCCTCTTGAATACTGGGAAGATACATATATAAAACTATACTATATCAACTATCAATAGCACAGATCACGGGCCACATGTATGAACACATGACAGGACTGCAGTAGCGCTGCTTTTCTTAATCATCCATCTCATGCTTATTTCCCCCAAAAACAACCATAAGAAACTATGAAAGATGCACTTCTCAAGTTTCCATAAAGCAAACAGCTGTCTTCATTCTGCCTCTTTATTTCCATCTCCAGTATTCGAAGGGTATAACATTTTTGTAAAACAGATGAATCCCCAGTTCTCAAGTAACTGTATCTATATGTAATAGTTATAGATCATCTTTCCTGGTGATCAAAGTATTCTTTAATGGACAAATCACCTTATGGTAATCATTTCCTATACACAGACGCTGTTGAAACACAACATGTGTTGACTGGTTTTCTGTTTATTTATTTGTTTATTTTGTGTGCGTGTTTTTGTATGTCTGTTTGTCTTCTATCTGTGTGGAATGTTTGCCCTGGTGTTAAGCAGTATTTACATTGTTACTCTACCTATTTTTCTATAAAGAGAAGATTTGTTTACCTACTTTTGATAAATGCTCTGATAGAATAACTGTATGCTGCTGAAAAAACACAATAAACCAAGTTAAAAAAAGAAACACAAAATGTGTCTGAATCAATCTGAACACTAAGTCCATTAATGAGAGTGGACAGCTTCAAGTATTCCAAATACAAAGTGTAAACGTCTCCTCTCACAGCTCCTCAGAACTCTGTGCAAAGGAAATAATGCTTCGTTACAAATTGTATCTAATTAAAGTAATGTAGGGAAGAGAAAAGGCCGGAGTGATAAGTTGTTTCATGTTAAAGCTTTTTAACAGTGCAGCAGAAACAGCCCAACAGACAGAGAGATACCCGTGTGCTTTCTAAGTAACAAACCAATTGAAGTGTTTGCTTTGACTGGTGTGATAGTAAACTGATTAGAGCGCGATAAAAGCCCTTATTAAGAATCAAACGCAACACGCTGCTGCCATGTGTGGGTCCATGCCAAGGCAGAATCAATATCAACAAAAGGCGCAAGTACACAAACACAAAATGCATGCCTGTCCTTTCAGCTGCACACTTAATCCCTCAGTCGATATGAATAGCACTGCACATTCAGAGTTTACCAGGCCCCAGCAGAAAGACATCTGTGGAAGCTCAATCGATACAGTGACTGAAGTGGAATTCAGCAAGTAGCCCCCCCACCCCCCCACTGGGCTTCGCTAAGAGCAATACTGCTGCTCAAGTATATTCAAGTCCAGCCAGAGGAGAATTCTCACAGGAGCTCAAGAAAGCTGCTCTTGTTTAAGTGCACAACATTTGAAAAAGAAGAAAGCTTTTAGTGTTTTCAGGAGGGGGGGCTATACGAGCAGAGAGGTATGTGGTTACAGTCATGGGTGTTACATTGTTAGAAAAAGTGGTGGGGACACTTTATTCAGATTTAAAAAAAACACAACCACATTAAGCAGACAATACATACACATATACATACATCATAATGATGACAATACTTTCTTTGACATCTAGTGCAGTAACTACGCTGCTGCAAAGCAACAATAGCTTTACTACTCTCTATTCAATTATTACTAATATTAAACGTGTCGCAGGTCCAAACTGCACCACTTGGGTTCCCAGAAACACGCCCAGAAAGTGAGAACAGTCCTCCAGATTGTACATGTTCTCTTGTGCAAATCAAGCTTTCTCAAAGAGTACAATTCTTTGTGAGAACTATTTTCAGAACATTTCTAACAAATGATCCTAACGCACAGTGGTGGGGACAAAATTGGCCATTTCCAAAAGTGGACATGTCCCCAGTCCCCAGTATAAAGGACCCCTATGGTCACATTGCAGTGGGGGTGTTACTGGAGATGTTCCACTCCGGCCAGGCTTCCTTAAGGCCAGTGCTGCTTCCTCTCAGTGTACAACATGAAGCCTTCCATCTAATACAAGACAACATGACAACAGCAAGGCTCTGTGATGGAAAAGACAAAGAGCTGGCAGCCCGGACTCCTAAGTAGAGGTGACATCCCATAATCAAAGGAGAGACTCCGGACCCTGCACAGGGTCAGGGGGGGGTGGGGGGGCAGCTCCAACAGCGCCACCAGGCACAGCGCTCAGCAGACACTCTCATATGTGACATCTGAATTCAGAAACTGAGAGAAAATTAAATATTGTAACTCTCCAACAATAAAATTCAACAATCATTTGCAATTTAAATTGCATCGGCAGTTGATACAAATCTGTGATCTTTCCGAGATCGAGATCCAAACAAATGCAAGAGACTGGAAGTGTGAAATAACAGGCTGCAAAAACACAGCACGCCAAAATATTTTCCCTCTCCCATTCTTTCGCTCCCCTCCACTTGCCCCTGCTACACCCGCTGCATATCACTGAATGAAATGCAGCGTGCAATTACCCATTATCCAATCAACTGGAGTCGACACTTAACCATTTGCACGGCTTTGGCCTCAGCCAATTATCTGTCAGGGCTCTCAGTGGGCCCTCAATAACTGCATAATGGTCCGGCTCCAGATCCATGCCACGCCAGAGATGGAGGAGGGCTGGCCGGCTGAGGGTCAGTGGGGCTGTCAGGGGCTGGCAGGATGACACGGGGTCCGGACACTGACTGGGCTCTGGCACCCCGGGGGCCCCGGCCATTACAATACATAATGCAGGGCTAGTCATTTGGAAGGGCTCCAGATCGTGCTCTTCAAAACCCTTTTAGATAGTTCACATATTCATCATCCCCCCCTCTCACCCTCCCACCAGCCCATCCTGTCACCCGTGATTGGACACACAGCCCTGATCCCCCCCCCCCCCTCCTCCTCCTTGAATCCTGGCCTTGACCTCACAGCACTTGCTCCCCGTCCTGCCCCTTCATTAAACCAGCACCCCACACAGCCACACCAGTCCAGGCAGTGGGGGCCGCTGGCTGGTTGGCCCCTGAGGGCCTGCAGCACTGGGCCCAGCTGAGGAGCCGGGCAGCTGCCAACCACCGACCACTTCAACCACGAGCGTCCGGATGACTGCGTTTGTCAAGCCGCCACTCCTCGTCAGCAGCGCAGGTCTGATCACCCACAATTAGCGGTTAAAGAGGGAGAAAGGGGATGGGGGGTAGAGAAAGGTAAATGTGAGGGGCTGAGGGGTCTTCATCCACCATGCAGTAAAGAAGTAGGTGCTTTTTTGTGAGAAATATGTGTTGTGTCCATCTCTGTGCTGAACATCCACACACAACTTTAATATAATCTGCATACAATGTGTTGTTGTTGTGACATCACGCATGGAAAGCAGTCACACTGACAAAAGAATCCACCAGTGATGGTGATCTTGAGATCAATTGATTTTGTTAAGACATTCATTAGTATTATATCTTTTTAATTTTCATTATGATAATTTATTTAACTATAAAAATACATTGAGATAAAAAAAAAGGTAATTTCAACAAAGTATGCCACAAGCCCTCAATGCATACTGTAACTTTTGTATGTGTTCATTACAATAACGTCTTAAATTGTTTTACAAAAAACATAATTGGAAACAAAGTCTGACTCTGAAACAGTGGAATGATCATATCTGTCATCCAGATGCACGATTCTGAGCAAAACCAGCTTTCAGAGAATATCCCTTCACTCATTAAAATAATGAAACAAAACTGCAGAACAACAAGCTAGTTGAGAACTAATCATTTTCCACATTCATTTTTTTATAAATAATTGTTTGCAGAACTCAGATTTTAGATTTGTTCAGTGATTTAAATACACTGAGTATTACAGTTTAGTTTGTCCAAACCTATGGATGAATTAACATTAACGCTGACCCTACCTCCTTAACCTCCAAATACATTCACTAATATCAACATGTATATCTTTACTCATTTTAAAATGTTAACACAACTATAAGATTATTTCAGTGATGGCAAACACAAACTTGAACTAATATGATACTGCCAGTCTTAATGAAAAAAGGTAGATTGAGATCTATGAATATGAAGATCATTCATGCAGACTGTGTGGACAGTTCCTCAACAAAAGGTCCAGCTGCCTCTTTTTATCTATGGCGCTGGCTCCCTCTAGTGGGCTGGAAACAACACTGCAATCACAAAAAGGAACTCATTGGAGAGCAGTATCATCTTACTGTCAGGACACACAGTCTGCTGTCACAGCCCCCCCCAACTGGTGTCACATAATGCTGGTTTTATAAAAGAACCATGTCATAAACTTAAAAGAAACTTTTACAATATATAGAAACACTCTTTCTTCTTGATAAGTTGGTGTAAACAATGTTTAAAGGTTTAAAGGGAGTCAATTTCCATTCCTGAGAAAATTCCGGCTTATTTTTCCTGTCCTGTTGGGAGGGTGCTCATGAAGGAATCAACAAGTCTGTGATCTGTGAATCATGTGACCATTGAAGGTACCTTCCAGGCAGCCCCCCCCCCACCTCTCTCTCTACAAGCAGTCCTGTGTTTGGGGCGGGGGGGGGCAGGCCCTGGTCTGTAGCTGTGCTGGCTCTCTGTTGGGCTCTCCTTGGTAAATGTCCTGGACCAGGAGCAGGGAGCGGGCCTTTACCCAGCAGGAAGTGCTCCCAGGCTGGGAGAGACCCCTCCACAGACGCCCAGTACCGCATCGAGAAGAGAGAAACAATAAAAACCTGACTGTCAGGGCCCAACACTGCAGATGGAGCTGTATTTTGAAAATAAGTTTTCCAAACCCTGCCACTCATGAGGTTCATCTCAATATTCCTCCTCGACTCCTCTCTTCTTCTTCTTCTTTTCTTTAATGGCGAATCGCTTCCACTTGGAGCATATGTCGCCACCTACTGTTGATTTATTTAATGTTCATATTAAATCCTTGTCCTCAGACCAGTGTTTTTGAGGAACTTGAAGATCAGCTTGTTTGCTTCATTTCTTGAGTTACTTACGAGTATTGACTTGAAATCCATGTCCTTGATGTTGAGTTGTTCCAGTGCAGTTTTCAGAATGAGTCTTTGTCTGTTATATTCCGGGCAGCTAAAAAATACATGATGTATTGTCTCTGGTTGTTGGCAACCATCACAATTGCCATTTGGATGTTTTCCAATCAGATGCAGTGATGAGTTTAATCCAGAGTGACCCAATTTTATCCTGCTGTTAATGCTCTGTTCTCTTCTACTACTCCCCCAAGTGCTTTCCGTTCCTACTTCTCTTTGTATCTGGTATAAATGTCTTCCTTTGGTGTTACTGTCCCATAGTTTTTGCCATTGTTGCTTGATAACAACTTTTGTAACAGATTTGACTTCTGCTCTACTGATGGGTACCATTATATCAATCTGGTTTGCTTTCAAACCACATTTTGCCAGTTGATCCTCTACCTCATTCCCTCTGATACCCACATGCGCTGGAACCCACACAAATTGAACAACAATTCCCAGATGAACTAACCTAAACATGATGTGCAAAATTTCATGTAAAATATCCTGCCGACATTCTGAAGAGAAGTTATTTATACTCTCCAGAGCTGCACTGGAGTCAGAGCAAATGACCACTCGCATTGGCTGTATTTCCTCTACCCACTGAAGTGCTAGTGAGATAGCCATCATCTCTACTGTATATACTGCGATGTGATCACTCGTCCGCTTTCCCACTTTGACCTTTAACTCAGGAACATCAAATGCTAGTTTGACCATTTTCTGGATTTTTGGATCCATCAGTAAATATCTGTATAAAGTGCCCATATTGCTCATGTAGAACAGTATTCACATAAACCTGTACATTAATTTTGTTTTTCATTGAATGTAACCGTTTCAATAATGATAAATATATTACAGGTTGAGGTAGCAACCATGGTGGAACAGCTGATATCAACACCGTCGGACTAATATTCCATTCTTTAACTTTGAATTCCTTACATAACTCCGAAACACAAACACAAAAACTTTCTTTTCTAATTTTGTTACTTTCCCAACTTATTTGTACAGTTTGTTTAGTAGGGTGAGTATCTTTATGGCCCTGTAGATTTGCCCAGTAATGAACAATTAAGTGTTTTCTCCTCAAAGAAATGGGTATTTCTCCGACCTCTACCTGAAGTGCCGACACTGGTGTAGATCTGACTGCCGATCTATGCCGCCGAAACATCATTTCAGCCAATCAGCGCCGTCAAATATGATGGTCACAGGGCTCCTACGTGAGCGCCCGGTGCAGTCTGTGAGTTGTTTGGACTCGTATCCAAGGAGACTAAACAGGAAGCTGTCATACACTCTGGAAGCTACCATTAGCAGCTAATGAAAACTCAGTTTTTGACATACAAATGGAATTATGGATCATCAATAATTTTTTCAAAGTGACAGACACATTGGATTAACCTATGGATTAACCTTAACCCGCGTTTTTCTCGTTTTTGATCAGAATTGTTATTCTGCAAAAGGTGAGCATATCTCCGTGTTTTGCTACCTAAAGCTACGTCGTGTGATGTCTGTATTTGCTTCCCCTGTCGCGAGTTCTGATCGCTCAGTGATGATACTTATATTTCTAGAATCTGTGGAATCTCAGCTTGTTAGCATAAGCTTGTTTGTGCATATCCGATAAGTATATCGATTGATTTATACCTAGAGTGCGTTAGCATTTTTTCGCTCAGGGCTCATTTAGACGCTTCTTGTGAGACTTGTGTTTTGTTTCGGTAAACATGGTTCATATCATCAGTTAGCTGCGTTTCCTCTGAGTAGGACACATGAATAGTTTATTACATTTTAAGAAGCCCTGAGACACAGTTTCGTGAGAAAAAAAACAGGGGAAAAAAGTAATTTTGAGTGTTCCCAAAGCCCCGGTGTTCTGCAGTTTGTGTGGGCCTACTGTACTGTTGTAAAAAATGAATATTCTCCATCAGGGAATGAAGGTAGGCTAAAATAGGCTACCTGTCGTTATAAAAAGTAGAGACCAAAGTCCCACTAACAAAAACGATCAAAGAGGGGGAAAAAAGGGCAGCTCTCTAAGTGCCGACAGGCAGGAGAGAGGGCACGCAATTGAGACCCCGACATTACTCACTCTGACCGGATATTCAGTACCGAGTGTGTCAGAGAGGAATGGGAGACATCCCTCAAATAAAAGCGAATAAAAGAACAGGGGGAAGACCAAGATGCAGCAGTGCAAATGTCTTCCACTGTCATTCCTCCGTGCAACGCCGTAGAGGTTGAAATTCCTCTGGTGCTGTGCGCTTGATGTTCTCCGGGGGATCCACCCCCGAGGAGACATGCACCTGTGACACAGCCTCACACAGCCAGTGTGACAGGCGTTGTGCAGACAGAGGCTGCCCTAATGAGCGCTCTCTGTAATGCACAAACAGACGCTGGGACCTGCGCAACGCAGCCGCGCGTGCCGTATAGCATGACAGCGCACGCACGGGACAGAGGAGATGAGATGTGGCTTCTTCCTCCGATGTGTGAGGAGGAGGAGAAAGAAGCCATCCAAAGTTATCACTCTCGATCTAAAAGAGCTTGTGATCACCTTTGGCATAAAAACCGGGTTAGGGCGCAAAACAGCTGAGCTGCCATCTCCTTGGATCTGAAGACATGACGGAGCCACAGAGAGAGCAGACAAATCACTCACCCTTTTAGCTGATGTCAGAGCCAAGAGCAGAGCTACTTTGGCTGACAAGAACTTTTAGGGGGACCTGATCTAAAGGTTCAAAAGGAGCTTTACTCAGTGCGCGTAACACCAACGCCAAATCCCATTGAGGCGCTAAAGCGCGTGACACCGGTCTGAGTCTCTGTACTCCACGTAAAAAACGTTTTGTCAGAGGGTGACTAAACACCGTGCTGACCCCAAAACCTACGTGGCAAGATTAAATGGCAGCAGCATATGTTTTGACCGTGCTATAGGCCGGGGCAGGGGGCCCGTCCAGGCTTTTCCCTACACACCAAACGGAACGCTATCCATTTGGCTGTTTAGGATGCTCTGGTGTGTTCAGCAGCTGCGCTGATCGTACACCTCCCTCGCGATTTATGTAGGCCGCCACTGCTTTGTTGTCTGTTCGAATCAACACATGTTGATTATACAGCAACGGGGCGAAGTGCCGGATTACTCTCCATACGGAGAGTAATCCATGTATTACCTCCCAGACCCATAATGTCCAGTTTTATTAATAATCCTTCCTTCCACATCATATCGTAAGCTTTTTCCACATCAAAGAATACAGCTACAACACACTCCTTATTCACTTGGGCTTTCCTGACTTCAGATTCCAGGCACAGCAGTGGATCTAAAGTACTCCGCCCTCTTCTAAACCCACTCTGATAAGGAGTCATTTATTCATTTTTTTCAACATAGTATGTCAGCCTTTCTGTTATCATTCTTTCCATAACTTTAGACAAGTGCGATGTCAGAGCTATAGGTCTATAACTGCCTGGACTGGTTGGATCTTTCCCAGGTTTTCTAATAGGAATAATGACAGACTCTTTCCATATTATTGGCAGCTTCCCTGTCTCCCAAATCTTAGTGTACATCTCCAGCAGCTTTCCTAATGCAAAATCACTTAATTTGGTCAACATTATGTAACATACATGATCTTTCCCAGGAGCAGTCATTTTACACTTACTTAGTGCTCTTCTCAACTCTTGAATAGAAAAAGGTACATTTACAACACTCTGCAACTAATTTCTTTCCTCATATACATTAGGATGTTCATCTAACACTTCCTGTCTCCTGATCTTACCTTCTTCTGTCAAATGTTCAGAAGAATGAACTTTGACAAAATTCTTAGCTAGAATTTCTGCCTTCTCCATAGGACCAGTGGCAATTTCCCCTCCATTCTCTAACACTGGCAGGTTACTCTGCTGTCTAATTCCCCTCATCTTCTTCCCCATATCTAATGGCGTAGTTCTCCCAATACTCGAATAGAATCCTCTCCAACACTCCCTTTTTGCTCTTTTAACAATTTTCCTTACCTGAGCCTGTGCCTTTTTATATTCTAATAAATTGTATAATGAATGTGTCTTTCTTAACTTTCCAAACAGCCTGATTTTGTTTCGGATTGCATCATTACATTCTTTGTTCCACCACGACCATCTTAACACATTTACTAAGTTTACCAGTTTTATTCCCAATAGTTTGATTAGCGCTTTTAATTATATTTGAAGTAAATTGCTCATTTATTTCATCAACACTGCCGGTCGATTTCAACCAAGCGGCAAACTCTGGGGCAGACCCGGGAGGCCAATAAGGAAGTGCCACAAACTGCAGTACATCTATTGGCCGATAGGCGATGACTGCAGAAAGGAGGAATTTCCATAGACCCCAATGTTAAAATGCCCAACTTTACAGCAGAAATAAACATGTTTCTACCCCTGGATGCAATAAAAATCATTCGGGATATAGTTAGATTCCACCTTCATGATTATGAATCTGTGAGTGAATTGTTTTATAACGCGACCCTTTTATTTATATTAGGTCTTAAAGTTTTTGCATAAATTAGGGCGTGGTCACTTTGATGGACAGGTACGTGCCTCACTGTCAGCTAACAGCAACTTGTCCACTCTGCTAGGCTACAACGTTAGCTAGTTGTAGTTACTGTACTTGACCCTTTAGCCGTGTTCGTGGTGATTGTGCCTTTTAGGGAATGTTGTTACAAATACCAGACAATTAAAATGCTGTGCGGTTGAATGTACTAACAGAACTTCCAAGAAGTCTAAAATGGTAATATTATACATGTTAACCCCATTAGCAGGTGTTTGTGTGCTTGTTAGCTTAGCTTGTTATGTAGCTTATTAGCCAGCTAAGGACGTAACCCTTTATACATGTATATACATATACAGTTTAGTTTATGATTCAGCCTTGGGTAAGACTTTTATAGTCTATGGATATGACGCCCATAATGCTAAACGGGAGCAAATGTTAAAAGGGGACCCAATTATCCCAGTAGTGGCCGCCGCAGTCCGGCGTTATAACTGGAGATCAAGGAATGCAGCGAAACGCGGACTTGGTTCGCCTGCAGCCCGCTGTAGTATTAGCTTGAACAAGGCTTATTAAGCTGAACATCGCCACAATTGTTCTGCTATGTATCGGTACTTATTTTTATTTTATTAACGTGTGAATGACAAGCATTAAGAATAACAAAAAATAGCTAATTATCTTGCAGATTGTCTCGTTTGATTATGAATGTAACGTTTATATAGTGGAACTACACTGTTTTATCAAAACCAAAGTGCCACGCAGTAACTTGGTATGCATGTATTTCATGTTAGCTTAGCTTCTTAGCCTGAGCTAGCTCTGTTTACTTCCAGTTCGGAGGCAGCAGGTCCCGCCTCGGCTCCGCCTCTTTGCCCTTATTTGGATCAGGCTGGAGCAGGGAGTTAGACTCTGACGTCACTGTCGAGACGTTAGTGGCCGACTCCGCCTACTAAGGGCTTCTCGGCAACTCTGCAGAATCCTATGGGTGACGTCACGGACACTACGTCCATTTATATATACAGTCTATGATTTCAACACAGGAAAACGGAGAGCTGGAAGAATGAGTGGGAAAGCGTCACATAAATCTCACAGTGCTCACAGCTCCATCGGAATTATTATGTGCAAATCATTTCTTAAGGTTATACTAACAATTTAAGTCATGTTTAATGATTTTGAACGTCACTAAAACATAGCTATTAAGAAAGCTATTTCATAAATGGCTAGATCTTGATAAATAACAATTATTTTATAGTTTTGTGTTAACATATTCAGTAGTTAAATTATTTAAAATGCACAGTCCTGAATGTGGGTTTGTGGTGAATGTGGGGATCTCCAGGACACACATTTTCAGAGTAAAGGCTTTCACATTACTATAATTATATTTGTATTTAAATGTAGGCTACATTTTACACCAAAACGGAACACAAAAGCAGGACCAACCATCATACATTGAATTCCTTGACTAACAACAGAAAGATTAATTAATTTAAATAAATATTTAACAACAAATGGGCCGGTTCTAAAGGTTATTCAGTTGAGCCCGATGAGAGGGGATACAGCTGTGCACATGTCATCATTAACAGACGTCGTTTAAAAGTGACATTTGAGTGAACTAGGACATCCCAATTAATACCTGAGGACTTCTCTGTCCTCGCGTCACCTCCTCGTGTCTCTCGCTCGCATCTTACGGAGGCAGAGCTAAGACGCAAGGAAGGGACGCGAGTGAGGGAAAGGAGGAGGTGAAATATTCAATTGAGATGAACCTATGGAAAATGAATGAATCAAATCAACAATGTGAAAGAGAATCATTTAGGAGGGCAGTGCTACAAGGTAAGATACATTTAGAACCTTTTCAGGTAAATAGATTTTATCTAAATGACAAGCATCTATAAAAAAATATGAAATGTGAACTTGTAATGTATAAACTTGTATATTGTATATGTGACCAACGTGTTACCTTCATGGCCAGGAGGTCTGTCCGTGGCAGCTGTGCTCCTCTGAGACGATCCTCTACCTGCTGTAAATCCTGCAGAGCACACACAGTGAGCACACACTCTTTAATCTTGGCCCTACAGCTTAATCAATTGTATTGAACGATTAGTATCCTTTATTACACTGTACATGAATCCTGCATAAGGTTATGACATATTGAATAAACCAGCAACCATTTATGGAAAGATATATTCACTTCCAAAGATGATGTTTGTCCTTAGTTCTTCCCTACATTTCTCTCTTACTTTGGCAAATGGTACACATTAATAACTCATAAACGCAGATAAGATAAATCAGAATAAAGTTTACACACTGAAACACCGGTCAGGGAGACAGGTGTCAATGTTCACAGAGCAGAGCTACACACAGCTGTGTGTGGGATCATGTGTACAGGTAACACAGTGGGGTGTGTGTTATCAGCGCGGCTCACCTGCAGCAGGTTGCTGTTCCTGAGGTGTGCAGCCTCACACTTCCACACTTAGTTTAGTTGATATTTACATACAAAGAGTCAATATTTTTCTAAAACCATTTAGTGCTTCACATAATAAAATACACAACGGCTGTATCCTGATATATATTATATGCTTTAGGAGCTGTAGGTGCGTGTTGTACAGTGTGTAGGTGCGTGTCGTACAGTGTGTAGGTGCGTGTCGTACAGTGTGTAGGTGCGTGTTAGAGATGGGCGAGTCCTGATTCATCCGGATCATTAACCCGGATCCTAGAAATGAGCTGGTCGTGACGAGTCTCCCCTCTCTATTAACCCGAGTCCTTTGAGTCCCACACTTGGTGTGACGTACAAATTAAAACTATAAATTGCGTCACTCGCTACTCTCTTTATAACATGTCAAATCACATTACAACGTACCCCAGTCCATCTGCCTACCCTTTAGCAAGTAGGATAGCTGCCTGAAGTGATCGTTTGGCTCAGGGGACGCGGATCAGTGAAACTTCCTGCAGACTCGTGCGGACTCAGAGGAGCATAGCAGATCCAGAGATCGTCATGTGCACGAGCATAGCCCCTCCTCCAGCACCCGGCTCCCGCGGCTATTGTGCACGAGTCAACAGCAGACTCAGAGATTCGCAAATCCTGACTCACTGTGCAAAACATAGCAGACTCATGCGGACTCAGAGCCGTAACCGTATAGCAGCAGATCCAGAGATCCAGCAGACTCGTCATCATGCACGATTCAACAGCAGACTCAGATTCGCTAAATCGCAAAATGACCCTTTTTTTTGTGATCAGTATGTTTTATTAAAGCAAAAGACACCACTTTACACACATTTAACACATACAAACACCAGTATTGCAATGATTACGCAGTTCATGAGAAAATATGGGGGGCATATGATTAGATATAATTATATGTTTAATAATAATAATTGTATAATTAAGACATTTTATATATTCTAACTGTTTTGCAATTTTCTATCATTTGTCATTGTTTGTTTCTTTTTGTGTGCTATGTTCAAAATAAACGTTTTGCCAAGTAAGATCCTTATTGGAAATGCAGCTATTACACGCAGGAGACTGTTGCACAACTTGACAATTTTGTTAGAAGTCTACACTGAAACTTCATTTAGAGCCGGAAACATAATGGACTTAATCAAAATCGCGGGATCCGTGAATCCAGGTCAATGATCGAGAGAGACCAGTAGCCTACGAGTTAGTCAGCGGAACTTCACAGACTCAGATTCGCAAATCCTTACTCACTGTGCAAAACACAGCAGACTCGTGCGGACTCAGAGCCGTAACCATATAGCAGCAGATCCAGAGATCCAGCAGACTCGTCCTCATGCACGAGTCAACAGCAGACTCAGATTTGCCAAATTGCAAAATAACCCATTTTTTATTAAAGCAAAATACACTGTGTAGCGGAGGTTAATATAACGTCAGTTTAATATGCTCATGAAATGCAACACGTTTTCGGTTTCACCGATAGGATTTCTACGGTCTTGGTGATGCTGACTCATATGACTCAAATGACTCGTATGATCCGGATCTCTTCAATGACTGACTCAGAAGACCCTGAGTCCGTAAAAGGATCCGGATTTGCCATCTCTAGAGCGTGTTGTACCAACACACTCTCACTCCATAAACGTCCAGGAGCGATGCTTGGTCAGGGTCCCGAGGCGTGCAGTTGGGACGCTCCTAGGCTCCTTCAGCTTCATAAAGGGACGCAAATAGCTTTCAACTGATTGCAATGTATTCCCATCTGCGGCGGGATTTGACGCTCATGGAAGCACGGCATTCGTTTGTGTCGGCGGCATTTAAAGGCAATGTGAGCGTCCATTCCCATTGGATAACGGAGAATTGTACACCCGGAAGTAAGTATTCCCCTTACTGTCGATTGATTTGACAGTGATATCTGCACTACTCATCAACTCAAAAACACCAGATTATCCTTGTTAATTACACAACATTGATTGGTTTAAATTGTGTGCAGTGCTTTTGTATTTTTCCCTTTCGATTCGGAAAAACAAATATTTTTTCAGAGTTTAGGATGGCAGAAGACACTACACTACCCAGAATCCCCAGCTATCGTTTAGGACTACACCATGTGCTCTGTTTGACAAACCCCGTGATTAGTTCTCAAGCTCTGTGATTGGATGTTGGAGTGGCAGTGCGCGAAGTTTACACGGAGCGTCAAACAGCACTTTGAAATGGAATGAAACCCATCGACGGCACACTATCCAAATCAAGAAAATAGTAAAAAGTGAAATAGTGCAATAAGAGTCTACATACAAGTGATTGAATATGATATATTAGACAAATCATTTCTAAGTAGCAGCCAGATGAATGTTATGGATGTTGTTTCTAAGTTCAGGTGTTTAATAGTCTTATGGCCTGTGGGATGAAGCTGTCCCTGAGTCTGGTGGTTTTAGTCTGGATGCTGCGGTACCGCCTGCCAGACGGCAGCAGACAGAACAGTTTGTGGCTGGGGTGATGGGGGTCTTTTATAATCCTGAGGGCTTTCTTTAAGGTTAACCTGGTATTTTTACTACATTTATTTGAGTTACATTACAGATTTGGATTAATGATGTGAAATATAAACAACCCTTAAATCAGACTTTAGTTACACCTGAGTAAAATTCAGTGAAGGTGATTATCAAGTGCCAACAATCAGGCGAGATATTTGATAGTGGGTGCTTGAGAAGACAAAAAATGTATCTGCAGATCCCTATAAAGCATATTCATTACTCGTTATTCTCTAATTGTTCATCAAAAACTGTATATAATGGCTATTTTGCACATCCCTTTCAAGATTTCAAGATTTTCAAAGGTTTATTGAAATATCATATACACAACTATGTAGTTATGCAATGATGACAAACTTGGGTCACAGGTTCCTCAACAAGAGATCTATCAATATGTGTGTACCTCCACCATTAAACTGTCATATTCTGCACATTTCTTATTCTATCTACATACATCTTATAAGAGTATAATAAATATGTATAATATCAGTTAAAATAAGTGCTTCAACATAGTTAACATTGCAGGAAAGTTGATTGTCAAGTTCCAAAACAAACCATGCAATATATTAGACATTAAGTACTTTGTCAGGCTTAATATCTGTAGATACCCCCAAAGCTTTTTGCTTACATGTATTTAAAAGAAGACCTTAACCTAAAGTATTATTTAATGTTTAAATAAAGCCTAATTAGTTTGTCTGTTTTGCACATCCTCCTATTAATATCTTTGTACATCCGGCACTAAACTGTTTTATTCTAGATACCATTTACAGTATCTTCTAGATATTTTCTATTCTATATTTCTATCATTGACCTTCTACTTTCCTCCTATTTTGTATATACTCTTAATATTTAAATGTTTTCATCAAATATAACACATTCAAAAGTGCTTTACAAAAATGAAAGACATTAAGAAAAAGGCATTTTAAACAGTCATTAAAAAGCAACACAATCTACCTGCATTGCAATTACTCTAAACGTGTAATAACGTGCTTTAACCAGTAGGAGGTGCGGGTTAAAAAGCGGTCAAGTTTACAGTGTTAACAAAATAGAATATACTGCTGTTTCTGGTTTAGTTTACGACGGATATATTCTGTTATTGTTTTGATATTTGTAACACAAAAGCGATGTAAAAAACCCACAGCAACACAGAAAAGATGGTCTTAACATGACCCAGCGGTCTAGTAGTTAATAAAAAACAATAATATCAAAACAAATTATTACTACTAACTTTATTGTGAAATTAAAACAGAACGGTAAAAGAATAGTTTCCGGTCTATTCTGAGGCCCGATCTCTGTAGATAAATAAAGAACTACGACAGATGTGTAATGTTTAATGCAGCCAAACCATTCATTACAATGACTTTCAAAGAGTAAAGCAAGCACTGCTGAATAAAGTATGATTTGATCTTTTACGAAACGCTTTATTTCATATGGAATGCAGTTGGAGGTCAACCAATCACAGAGCTTGAGAACTAATCACGGGGTTTGTCAAACAGAGCACATGGTGCAGTCCTAAACCAGGGGTATTCAACTAAAATTCAACGAGGTCCAGTTAGAGAACATGTCCCCATGCAAAGGTCCGGAACTTCAAAATGTCTAAGTTGCTTTATGAATTAGTGTGATATATATTGAAGTAGCCTGTAGCTTTATCAACGTCTGCATGTCATCAACAACCGACTGCCAATCAAATAAAGAAAGTACAATTGAAAAACAACAATATTTATTGTCAATGAACATTGAACTATACAGATATACAGTAAATACTGTGGATATGTGTAATGTTCCTCTCGGGCTGCATTTAAAAATAAAATAGAGAAATAAATAAAATAGCTTTGTTAACCGTTTCACATCATGACTTAACAGTTTCAGCCGATTATAGAACAATATCAGTCTTTACACATCATAACAATTGAACAGTTTTAAAGTTTCTCTTTCTTTCCCTCTTATATTGCAGTCCCTCACTCACTTTGTTTTAATTCAGTGCGAGAATTGAGCTTGAGCTTGTCCTGCCCGGAGTTTAAATCTGGGCTGAAATGGTGTCAGGGCCATTCTCATACACACATGCAGGTGCTCATTGGTTAGCCTCGGTTAGCCTGCCCTGGAACCATATTTAGTTTTAATTTTGATCCTGGTGGACTGATCATATTGGGCTCTGAGACTGCTTATTTTTTGTGACCTCAGTTCTGACTTGAGAGGGAATGTTTGGTCAAACACTTTGTGTTTTGTCTCATAGTGGCGTTTTGGCACTTTTAATCAGGGTTGGGAGGGTTACTTTGTAAATGTAATCGGTTACTGAATACTGAATACATGGCTCTGAAAGTAATCCGAATACAGTTACAGTTACGTGTCTTAAAAAAGTAACGTATTCAGATTACTTTTAGAATACTTTTGGAATACTTTATTTTTCCATAACAGATGGGTATGTTTTGGTGAACACGTATTTTACTGTTTTAATGGCTTATCAAGAGCACAACTCAAACACGACATCTTGTTCTGGACAGCTCCCTCTCATCTGCACCCCACATAAAAAACATCCCCCGGACTGCATTCTTTGTACTCTCTTAAACCTTTCCTTAGAATATGTTATGAATTGTCAGGTGTCCTTGGGTGCTTTGAAAGGCGCCCCTAAATAGAATGAATTATCATTATTATTTATTATCTGAAACGACGTAATAACTTTTAAAACTGTTTCCTTCATTCAGCAGCAGCAGGCCATTCACTTTGATTTGATCCCGTTATGAAATGTCATCATTTCGACAATAAAGAAATGCTACATAAACGTTATATCTCTCACAGGCTCCGCCCTCTACTGGACTCTATGGGTACTACCTTATCATGCAAGCATTCACCTACTGAGATTTCTATAGACGTAGCCGGCCCCGGGGCGGGCCTACCTGAATGCGTGCGCATCTCACTTCCGTATAAAAGGAGGCCTCGCCTCCTGACCACCATCCTTTACTCTTCAGCGAGCGGAGGTGGTAACCTAGCACTGAGTCCGAGACGTACAAGTGGGAGAAAGGAAGTAGAGAAAGAGAGAGATATTGTGAAAATGGAGCCACTCCTGGAGCATCGTAGTTGCCCGTCGTGTCCTGGACTGATTGCGGGAGCAGACCCGCATCGTCAGTGTTTCCAGTGCCGGGACAGGATCATGCTGAGCAGGGAGCGGGCCAGACACCGGCCTGTGCTTCCTGCTGTTCGATCCCCATGCTAAACCGCCGGCATCGTGCGGAGCACTTCTCGAGGAAGTTCGGCCCGCAGGTGCACGGAGAGGAAGAGGATGTGGACCTCGAGGTGGTGGACATGGACGACCTGGAGGACGTGCCGTTTGAATTCGTCCTTCCGAGGGACCGAGTGGTCGACTTCGCGGAGGAGGATGACGACATCTCCTTGTCCGACACCCCCGGGTCCGACAGCCAGGAGGGCCCAGCACTCAGGTCTGCGCGACTGGACTTCCCAGCGGTGATGACCCAGGCAGCGGAGCGTGTAGGCTTACCGCTCCCCCCACCGCTGCCACCGAGGCCTGTAAGCCGCCTTAGGCAGGGGTTTTACGGCCCGGAGCTTCCGGCGCAGCCGGCTTACGTCTCGCCCCCGTTGCCAGACATCTGGCAGTGTGTGGAGGCGACATGGCGGCGTCCATTGAGGACGAAGGCCGCCATAGCATCCATGTCGGGCATTATCAGGGTGCAGGGCCGATCAGACACGGTGTGTTCTGGCGTGCCCCCCCTCGACGAGAGCCTGGCGGCCCATCTGTTGCCACGATCAGCTGGTTGGGCGGAGGGGAAGAAACCTCTGCCCCCGCTGCCGCGGGACCGGGAAGCCTTGGAATATTTGGATAAAATGTTCAGGCTCGGTTCACAGATGGCGGCTGCGGCTAATAATCTGGGTGTGTTGGGCGTCTCCTTGATTACTCCTCGAGCAGACGCCCCCGCTCTCCCGTCTCAGGACGGGGATGATTATCCAGACCGCTGCATAGGTCAGATGAATAATCTGATCCATGGAGTGGCCACCGCAGCCGGGCGGGTGATGTCCTTAGCCACAGTGGCGTCTCGTCATGTGTGGCTGGGACTCACCGCGCTGCCCAAAAAGGACCGAGCAGATCTCCTTGGAGCCCCCGTTTCCACGGAAGGGCTCTTTGGGTCTATAGCCTCGGTCACCCAGCGTTTCAGCCGTCTGGAGGAAGAGAGGCTGCAGCTTAGCCGCATGTTGCCGCTAGCTTCTCCCCAGGCACAGGTCCCTTTTATTAGGAAAACTAATAAAGAAAAAGGTGATCTGTATCCAAGTCTGAGTGTCATTTGTTTTCACAATCCTGCACTCACACACATTGTTGACTGTACATATTCCCCACTCGCTACCCCGGTTATTTCTCCTGTAAAGGAGACAGCTAGTGGGCATGCGCAGATGAGAGAGATAAACCGCAGGAAGTGCTATAGTAGCGCTATGCGGGTACAGGGGCTTGCTAGTCGGCGCATTATGGTTAGGGAACACACTACGCCTAGAATAAAGGCTCCAATTAATACAGTTTACCGTAGTGGTAAAAGCTGCATTATGGCAGAGCTCGCGCTCTCTCAGGAGCCCATGGTGTGTTCAGGGACCTCAGGTGAACACATTACGTCAACAAAAACTCCGGTTAATGCTGGTTACCATGGTAATGAGAACAGCGTTAGGGTGGAGCGCGCGCTCTTGTATGGTGTGTTCAGGGACCTCAATAAAAAATCGGCCCTTTCTGTGTCGACCCTCCATGGGCAAATCTTCCTTTCACGGGGGATTTTGCGGCGGAACGGGTCACCAGAGAGTATCACAGCTTTATAGCTGCGGCCCCACAGCTAAGGGCTTGTCCATTAACTCAATATTATGGGGAATGGAAACTCAGCTGTGTACTGTCAGAGTGGATGGACAGGACGCTGAAACGGGGTTATTCACTGCAGTTTTGCAGCATCCCACCTCCATTCAGAGGCATGCGAGAGGTAATTCTGTCATCCCAGGAGGAGATGGGTTTCCTCTCAACAGAGATTCAGGCTTTGGTGCAGAAACAGGCAGTGTCTGTGGTGCATCCTCAGCAAAAGGAAAAGGGTTTTTATTCCATGTACTTCCTGGTTTTCAAGAAGACAGGGGAATTCAGACCTATTCTAGATTTGCGCAGCCTGAATCTTCACTTTTGCCGCAGGAAATTTCGCATGTTAACTATCAAACAGTTAATGGGGCTAGTGCAGCCGGGCGATTGGTTCACCACCATCGACCTGAAAGACGCATACTTTCATGTGGAGATTGTGCCAGAGCACAGGAAGTATCTGCGTTTTGCCTTTCAGGGAACAGCCTACGAGTACAACAGACTCCCGTTTGGCTACTCCCTATCCCCACGCACATTCAGCAAATGTGTGGCCACAGCGCTTCAACCGCTGCGCGCCCAGGGCATGAGAGTTTTCTTTTACATAGACGACCTCATAGTCATGGCTGGGTCCCGGGAACAGGCAATGTTTTGCACAACACAATTGATCACACACCTAACCAAATTAGGCTTTGCGATCAATTGGGGAAAGAGCACCCCCATACCTCACCAACAGGCGTTGTATTTGGGAGTGGTGCTCGATGCAGACGCGCTACGTGCCACCCTGTCAGAAAGCAGGCGTACGTCCCTTCTCAGGGCGGTGTACAGGCTGCGACAGGGGGCAACAGTGACAGCTTTAACTGTCATGCAGACTCTGGGTCTCATGGCGGCTGCTCACGTTGTGGTCCCATTGGGGTTACTGCATATGCGCCGCCTGCAGAGGTGGTTTTCCAGTCTGCGTTTGGATCCCAAGAGGCACAAACGGCGGCTGGTGACCATCCCCCCCCCTCAGTGGAGGGCAACCTCCGGTTCTGGGGGTCTCCCGGGCACCTCCGGAGGGGGTCTCCACTGGGGCGGGTAACCTCCTACATCACAGTGTTCACGGACGCATCCAGAACAGGATGGGGAGGGACCTGCCTGAAGAGGGCTATAGGTGGGCGCTGGGCTCTACGGAGTCTCAACACAGCAACCTCCTAGAGCTACGGGCGGTAGTGTTGGTCTTCCAGCATTTCATGCCCCTAATTCAAGGGAGACATGTAATGGTCAGGAGCAACAACAGCACCACAGTGGCTTATATCAACAGGCAGGGCGGAGTCCGCTCCGCCCCCTTGTTGGCCACAGCGGAGAGGCTGTGGTTATGGGCTTCAGAGGTGGTGTTATCTCTGAGAGCCCTCCATATCCCGGGACTGGAGAACAGGGGGGCCGACCTCATGTAGAGGGGCGGCCCTCTGCCAGGCGAATGGATGCTTCACCCGGAGGTGGTGAAGCAGATCTGGGCCCAGTTCGGGAGAGCGGAAGTGGACCTGTTCGCCAGCCGGCACAACAGCCACTGTGCCCTGTGGTTCTCCATGGCCCTGAGCGACGACCCGCCTTTGGGGGTGGACGCGTTTGCACACGAGCCATGGCCAAGGAAGCTGCTATACGCCTTTCCACCGCTGCGTCTCATTCTCCCTCTCCTGGGGAGAGTGAGGCGAGAACGTCTGGCAGTCATTCTGGTGGCACCGGATCGCGTCGGGGCTCCGTGGTACTCAGAAATGACACAGATGAAGGTGGGCCAGCCCTGGGCGATTCCCCAGTTCTGGGGGTCGATGTCTCAAGAGGCAGGTGCAATCGGGGCGTTACCCACTCTGGGCCGTCCTCTTCAGGCTTGGCTCCTGAGAGGGACAGGCTGAGACAGGGTGGATTGTCTGACAGCGTTATTCAGTCTATCCAGGCAGCTAGAGCAGAATCCACCACAGCCTGTTACAGGCCAAAGTGGCTGAGATTCCAGCATTGGTGTGAGTAGCGGGGAATAGAGCCCCTATCTTGTGAGTTGGGCTCTATTTTATCCTTCTTACAGTTACTGGTGGACAGAGGGCTTGCTCATTCCACAGTGAAAGTGTATGCAGCAGCCATCTCGTCCTGTCATGAGGGATTCAACGGCAGGTCAGCCTTCTCTCATCCACTGATGTTGCGGTTGTTACAGGGGGTCAGGAGGCTGCGCCCTGTAGTGCACGCCTCCGCCCCACAGTGGGACCTGCCCCTAGTGCTCGAGGCTCTGGTCACAGAGCCATTTGAGCCTCTTGAGCTCTCCTCCCTGAAAGCACTGTCGTGGAAGACAGCGTTGCTACTTGCCTTAACGTCAGCCAAAAGAGTGTCCGAGTTAACCGCTCTGTCGGTGCACCCGAGCTGTTTATTGATTCGGGGTGACCAGAGTGGGGCGACACTCAGGCCGAACCCCTCCTTTGTGCCCAAGAGCCTAAGGAGTGAGTTCAGGTCGAGGGCTATTCAGTTGGGGGGTTTTAGTCTTCCACCCCATGGGGGGGCTAGAGAAGCTAAATTACACCTCCTCTGCCCGGTGCGCGCATTAGCATATTATGTAGAGCCCACAGCTACCCTGAGACGCACTGAACAGCTGTTTGTGTGCTTCGGGGGCGGGGTGACTGGAAAAGCTCTGTCCAAGAAACGCCTGGCAGGCTGGCTTTGTGAAACCATTGCACACGCCTACAAGCAGGCAGGGAGAGCCTGTCCCATGGGGGTCCGTGCGCACTCCACACGAGCTGTGGCTGCATCAACAGCCTTATTCAGCGGTGTGAGTGTGGAGGATATATGCACGGCGGCGTCTTGGTCAACGCCAGGCCCCTTCATAAAGTTTTATCTCTTGGATATGTCTGGCTCTTTTCTCATCGTCTGTACTTGCTGTGGCAACACAGGACTGGTGAGGAGGGGGGGGGCTGTGGGTCAGTGGGCATCTGACCCCCTCCCCGGGCGTAAATGCGCTTACATTTCTCCGGACCCCTGGAGGGTCGCGGGGTGATGTAATGCGCTCTGGGCCCTTACAGGGCTGAAGGGCTCCCCTCGCCTGCCTGGGGGCAGGAGGGGGAGAGCCCTCCATATTGTTGTCCCTACACACTCTGCACAGGGTCAGTGGCTGAGTGGGGGGACGTAGGGGGCACTTGCGTTCTCCCCGTGCTCTTTAGGGACTCAGGAGGGAGAGTGCATAGTGAACCCATACAGGGCTGCGGACTTTCCCTGTCTGCCTAGGGGCAGACGCACGGGAGTCCTCAGCACTATTTTTGAGCACACTTTTTTGCGAGGCAAGCGCGTCAGGGTGTGCTCTATCGGCCGCAGCCCGGACTTCTCCACGGTTACAACCGAGGGAGAGGTGAGTGAGGCGCAGTG